TAGCTGAGGCTTTGTTTGAGGTAATGTTGATATGCGATTACCTTTTTGTCAGCCAGTTTCCTGATTAATTATATAAGTTGAACCGTTTCTATGTAATTTAATTAGGTTCTGGATGAAATTCACCAGCAATCTGTGGTTTTATCCTCTCGACCTTCTGTATCGTCAATTGGATCTGTTCCTGCTCCTACTGAAGTTGTGGAATCTTTGCCTGTCAAATTGTTTTCCAAGTTGCAAAAGCATCAGTATGAGGAGGCTGCACAGTAAGTATCCAAGTCTATCTAATGTTCGACATTCAGTTCACTGTGTATCTCTGAAGGAGGTGACTGACCTAATTCAGTATTGTTCCAGATTACAAGAATTAATCTGCCTTGCGCTTTTATGATGTTCTCAGCAGCCAGTGACTTTTCAAAAGTGTCTATTTTACAAGCAATTTCTTTACAGATGCAAAAGAATGTTTAGCTTAGGGAAATTGTTCCTTTACTTGCTATAGGCACTGGACAAAATATTAGAGTTTTATACATAGATTTTGTTTTTTTGTTTTTTTGTTTTTTTAATTAATAAGAGTTTAAAGCTTATTCCTTTTGAAAAAAATATTTTATTTTCCCAATTCTGGCCATTTTTAGGTACATACTTTTGGCTTTTCATATCATAGTCATCACTCCATGTTGCCACAACATATTAGAGTATTTAAACATAAATTTTCATATTGGTAGTTAATAAGAGAATAAAGTTTACTCCTTTTGAAAAATATATATATATATATTATTTTCCCAGTTCGGGCCATTTTAGGTACATGTTTTTGGCTTTTATATGAGTTTATTGTCCTATTACAATGGTTTATACATTTTAGGTTAAGACCATATCTGTATCTTTCTTTATTCAGCTCTAATTTAATAAACATTATTCGTGTTTAGGAATTGGTACTGACAATTTTTTAGTAGCACGTGTAGCATGTGGATGTTATATAAACTTGCATCCTTTGTATTACATTTAGAATTTAATGATTCTTGTTTTGTTGTTGGTACTTTATTTCTCTTGGTAAACAAATGGAAGTGTCTTTAGAAGGACCATTTTTGTGGGCTGACTATAACATGGTTGCAATGTCTTTATTTTCCAAAATATATTATTTTGGTTGGGAAAAAGATTGTAAGTTACATCTCTTTAATATCGCAGTATCTTAATATCTTTTGCTTTGCGTATCCTTTAATCTAACAGATGCTACATATGCCTTGTGGAGTACGAAGAAGGAGACATAATGCGAGTACTGCCTTGCCATCATGAATTTCATAAAACTTGTATTGACAAGTGGCTCAAGGAGATTCACAGGTTTGGAATGAACTTGCTTCTTTCAAATCGTCTAATATGACTTATTTAAACACGGGCACATACACTTTATTGACTACAATAAGATAGTATGGCGAGTGTTATTGCAATAAAATTTTATATGTTCTGGCTTGGAAAATTTCAAAATAGTAATCACTGTATAAAATTTGTCCACTGTCTGTTTGCTTGTTTAGTAGCTTTCGTATGGTAGTTGGCACTTGGTGATCCTGAAAAATGCTAGTACCAGTGACATAAACTTGAAGTTGGAAAATGGTGGTTCATAATAAGTTGGAATTAAACCAGACAGATGTATGACTGCATATCATGCCTAAGAGGTTTAGCTCAAGTGTCATTGGGGAGGGTGGGCAAATGTTTAGGTCCTAGGTTCAAGTCTCAATGTAATAAAAGAAATTGCATAGTTATAAATTCCTTTCCGTTACTAGAATGGAATTTATTATTATTATTTTTCAATGTGATCACCCGACCAGTAACTTTCCAATTTTGTCTTCCGCTAAATAGTGATCTATTCCACCTTATCCCCCCTTAACTGTGCATGTCTTTTGGCTCGTTCATGCAGTGCAAAAAAATAGTTTCCTTTTTCAGCACAGCTATATTTTGGGAATTTTTATGAACTGTATGTTGTGTTGTTGTGTAGTATGAATTTATTTATTAATAGGAACTTTGGAATGAAGTTAAATTTTTCTTGTTCCAGGTATTGGAAATATTAATATTTTGTTTTTAAAGTTTATTCTTAATTGTAATATTTACCTCTTTTTAAAGTCTGTATAGTTTCAACAAGTATATTCTTTGCCAGCAGAATGTTTGCTAGAACGGATCAACAAGAAGTTCTTGCAAACATGAATGTTTACTAGAACAGATTTCATAAGTATGTGTACATGCACTTGTGCCATCGAATTTTACATTTGCTTTTTTCTCTTAGTGTCACATAGGAGTTTGCACTTCTTTAATACGTATTACCTAGATGCTACTTATGGGATGCCTCACCCAAATCATAATTTGGAATGTCATGTGGCCTGAACAGCTTGTCATTGGGGGAAATATTATGTTAAGGAGCGATGAAACTCAGTTGGATTGTGCTCCCTTGGTGCTCTTTTAAAATAAACCTTTTTTCTGTGTACTTATAATTAAATAGTGAAAGGGTATTTGAGATTTGAGCTTTGAAGTATACTTCGTTAAATGAATAGAAGGAAAGTACTGGTGGTGAGTATCAGCAAGGACTTGGTTATGACATCATTTTCACTGCTGGGAATTCTCAGCATGCACAAGCTCTATCATCTATAGCAAACTGGCAACAGCTATAAGTCTTCAACATTCTCAACATCTCTTTCTTCTTTCCTTTCTACTATTAATTGGTTTTTCACTTTCATATGTTCCTTGTATAATTGGCAAGAAGTTCTTGCCTTGATTTACTTCTCCATTTCCCTCTCTGAGCTCTACTTGAACCCGTCACTCAAATCTTTTTGTCCGAAACTCAAGTACTGTGTATCTCACTGCCACTGCTTGTCAGGTTGTTTTTCGCAACTAATGCAACACTTAGCTCCATTGTTTCCCCAATAAATATCAAATCCTCTCAATTCTTTCTTGTCGATGCTCATATTTGTCGCAGCTGCCAGTTTTCCTTTTTGGCCTAACAATAATGTAAACTCTTCCAAAGGATGCATCAGGATTGTATTCTATTTCTGCAATGGATATTGTTATACACCGTTGCTATTATTCAGACAATCCATTCATTTTGTCCGGCCACCCCTCTAACTAATATGGCTACTAAGTAATAAGCTAACTGATCTAACTAATTTAACCATGACAGCATAAGCTCAAGTCATGAAAATGCTAATCTCAATGATCAAGAATTGGAAATTGATACGTTAAGTAACTGTAGAATATATGAACTGCCATGGAAAGATTTTTTATTTTATGAATTGTTCATTTAATTAATTTCAATTTCTTTATGCCTGAAATATCAATGCCTCTTGTTGTTGACATTTTAGGTTTGTATTAATATTTTGGTGCTACTTATACTGGAAATTGCTAATGTGTATCCGGTATGCAGGGTATGCCCACTATGTCGCAGGGATATCTGTAGATCTGATGTGTTGCCTGCAGAGAACTAAGGTAGTGGTTTTTCACTCTTCTTCTCTGTGAATGGACAATTGAGGAGTGAAGCTTTCCGCGGAGGCAGTGTTTTCGTGTATCATTTTTTAGGAAGTTCAGTCCTTATCTGCTTGTATCATCGTTGCTGCCCGCCATTAATTGTTCTCATTGTCAAATGTAATACTGAACGTTAGTAGAAACGGACTGAACTACTTGCAATCAGCAACACCTCCAGCCAGAGGGCGAGGGGAGTGGAGGGAGAGAGAGAGAGAGAGAGAGAGAGAGAGAGAGAGATGTTTCCTTTCTCCGATGAATTCTGTTAATATGCTTAGTCAGAGGCCCCATTGTTGTATCTGAAATTCTGTGCATTCCCGCTGTTTCCTGATTTTGTTAAGGTTTGGACAGATCACATTCTCATTAAGTTTGAGGTCACTTGGAATGTGCTTCCTATTTTTGAACTTTGATCAACGTTCTCCCTTTACTACAAGAATTTCTATAGTGTGGGCCTTATATGTGAGGTTCTATCTCTTAACCGTTGGATCAACTTAGTTAGTTGTCTTACGTTGGGTCATCTAACATGTAAGCCTCGTACATAATGTTAGATAAGCCCCGAGCCACAAATGGTAGTAAAATGTCCAATAAAAAAGGATTTTTGTAGACATGTCACGTGAACTTATACTTTAATTTCAATTTGTCACTTTAAAGAAAAATTTAAGAGAAATGTCACTTTAATTTTTCAAAATCCATGATTTGTCATTTGACTTTAACATTATTCAATTTTCCATATATTTTTAAGGGTATTTTAGTCTTTTCAATTTTAAGGGTATTTTAAAAATGGAAAATTTATTATAAAAAAATTATTATACATGGTCAGAGAGAGAGAGAGAGAGAGAGAGAGAGAGAGGGGGGGGGTGTTTCCTGTCCTATTCGATGTGTTTTAGGGATGGGTGGGGTTGGGGTGGGAGAGAAAGAGAGAGAGAAGTCTCTTTTTCTCTTTTTTTATTGGGGCATTTTGGAAAAAGCAAAAGGAGAGAGAAAAATTTTAAAAGAAGCAAAAATGGACAAAAATGCCCTTATTTATTTTTAGATTTCCTAAAAAACCTTTTTTTATTTTGTGAAAATGAAAAGACTAAAATACCCTTAAAAAATGGAAAATTGAATGGTGTTCAAGTCAGATGACAAATCATGGATTTTGAAAAATTAAGATGACAAATTGAAACTGAAGTGTAAGTTCAGGTGACATTTCGACAATTATCCCCAAAAAAAAATGTTGGTTTCACTTTTGCAATTTCAATCAAACTTGTGACCCTTTTTAACAAACTTGTTAATAGCTGGTTGGTAAGCATTTGAAGACTGAAAGAAGTAGAATAAGCCACAACTTTATTCATTGCTATTAAGAATTCTAGTGCCATTAAGTGGTGTGATTTTTGCAACTTGCTGGAATATTTGGGATCAATGAAATCAATTTGTTTTTCAAAATAAAAGACCAGATCCTAATCATGCAGTTTCACGTATAAACTCCCCTCGCAACATGTTTTTATCAAAAATTGCCAAAATTTATTGACATTTTTGAAAGTGGGGTAAATTTTGGCTATTTGTTTTTTTATAAAAACTGTGTCACAACCGCGCGCCTCCAATTCTTCCATCGCCATCGCCGCTCCACTTCCTCCTCTCACAGCCTCTCGCCGTCGCCTCTGTCTCAATTTCAGGTGAGTTCCATCTCGTCTCATCTCAGCCCAATTTGATACCCGGCCTCTGCCTCTAACTATCTCTCATATCCATCCTCTCTCAGCTCTATCTCAGAGGCAGAGCAGTTCACTCTCTCTTTGATAAGAGTCTCTTCCTTATGATTTTTGAAGATGTAATTACGGTTCTGTGTGGAATGAAATCGGGGTTGTGAATTAGGGTTCTCTCTCAATAGCCTGAATTTGTTGGGCAGAGCAGATAAAAAAATATAGATAAATGTTATACTTCCATTCCACTGAAAAAAGTTTCGAGTGATTACGGCAGAGCAGGCCTCATCAGTGGCAGCTATAATTGTTTTCTTTCTTGTCCAAACCCTAGCCTTTGAATTTCTATCAGAGTGGAATACCATTTCAAACCTGGAGAAATGTTAACAAAAGATATCATAACAGCAACCAAAACGATACGTAAAAGAAGAGAGAATCCCAATTTCTATCACAGTGCATGCGCATATATATCACATAAAAGTTTTTTTCGAATGCTTGAAGAATCCCAATTAGCCTTCTGTTCTGTGTATAGTGGCATCTGCAAGTAGATGAATTGTTAGCAGGGATGCATGCTTTGCTAAAGTAAAAATTGGTAAAAAGCGAAGAAAGATTTCAAGAAACATTGTGTATGTGTGTACATGTATATGAAGATTTCTAATGATCGACCACTTTTACTCATTAATTTTTTTTAGTTTCCTTTTTTTTTCTTCCTGTTTTTTAGTTTAGGGGCTGTTTTTAATTTTTCCCTTCAGTTTCCAGTATGGATGATTTACTTATGGCTGTTTTTATTCATTAGTTTCTGTTTTTAGGTTCTAATGTCTTGTTTAGGTGCTGTTTTTAATTTTTAGTTTCTGTTTTTAGTATGGATGATTTACTTATGGATGTTTTTATTCTTTAGTTTCTGTTTTTGTTGATTAATGTTAGTTTTTTGGTGATAATGGACCAATCTGTTTCTTTGATAAGCCTTCCTTCCTTGGTCTCATATGACTCTCTCTTCCAGGTAATCCTACATCCTTCACCGAGCTCATTTTTTGTGCATTTTCAAATCACGAGCTATTTCCAAGATAGCTTCAAATTATTTCGGACCAGAAAACGAAGCAAAATCCTGACACACATAATATTACACTGTTTTTCTCTTTCATTTTCCCGCGTTTTCTCGGTAACCAAACGGAGCATTATGCTATTTTCTTGCTCTTAAAACTCGGAATATAATAACTAAGTTTTCTTTCAGTAAACTATTTTCTTGCATTTGTTATCTTTTACAGGTTTCTACTTTAGAACTGTTTTATGTCTTTCTATTGACTTCTGAGTTATATGCTTCTAGGGTTTCCGAGATTCTTCCCTAATTTGAGAATCGTTTGAAGAATTGAGTGACGGGCTCAGGTATTATGACCTCTAAGAGGGAACATGAAGATAGTGTTAGAGTGAATGCGGAAGGGTTTGAATCTGACCCAAAGAGGCAAAAACGGAATGGGCATTCATCTCCTTCCTCTTCACCACCTTCACCTGCTTCTGAAGGCTTCCTTCTTCCTGGTTTTAATTATGGCGACGAGGATGACGAGGACAACTATAGAAGGCCACCTGTTAATGACTATAGAGGGGATGGTGGTGATAATCAAAGGGATCTAAAAAGTGGGGTTGAAATTGAAGAAGAAGATGATATTGATGATCTTGGACAAGGACTTTACAGGCGGGGCCGTGAAATTGAGGTCAGGAAGGATTGTCCATATCTTGACGCTGTTAATCGCCAGGTATATTACTATTCTAAGTTGTTACAATATGGCATTCCAGCTTGTCTGTATATTATCCTTACAAAAGCATCTACTGTATTGATACCTATTGCTTGATTTTGCTTTGCCCAGGTTTTGGATTTTGATTTTGAAAAATTTTGTTCTCTGTCTCTGTCAAATTTGAATGTGTATGCATGTTTAGTTTGTGGGAAGTATTACCAAGGAAGAGGGAAGAAGTCCCATGCATATACTCATAGCCTTGAAGCTGGACACCATGTTTATATCAATCTTCGAACAGAGAAAGTTTATTGCCTTCCCGATGGATATGAAATCAGTGACCCGTCATTGGATGACATTAGACATGTCCTGAACCCGAGGTTTGATTTGTATTTTTTTTATTATATTTCTAGCCTTCCTTGGGTATCCTTTTAAGTATGCATGTGCAAACAAAGGATTTGAATTCATTTGGTTCTTTATATATAGGTTTACTGAGGAACAAGTTGAGCAGATTGACAAAAACAAGCAATGGTCTAGGGCACTTGATGGTTCTGATTACCTTCCTGGAATGGTACTGGTTTTTGTTCTCACTTGCACAAGATTCCATATATGCTTCTATTGCTGCTGTTGTCAATTCATATGAGTTCGATATTATGTTTCAAATTCCTAATTGGTGCTTGTTCAATACTTTAGAGTTCCCATTTAAGTTACTCGGGATAGAAGAATTTTTATTCCTTGCCAAATAAGTAATGAGCTATTATGAATCTATAATGTGGCTAGCCAACAATTAGACTTACGATAGAGTTGTTTCACAGTTTTGATAGACTTGTATGGAGTATAGAAAGAACCAGTAAGCATGATTTCAGTGCTTACCAAATGTGGTTTTTGGTTTACTGCAGTACTCTCACATCTTTGTAATTCTCTATGTTCCGTTAGATTCTCTCTCATATGTAAGGTTAGACAAACCTATGTTGAACCACATTAAGTACTGTCTTTTCATGTGTGCAAGGGTGACGTATTTTGTGATTGATCTCTCTGATGGATACACTTCCATAACAACTTACGTCTTAACAATATCTAGCGAGGTGTTAATTTTGGGTCCTAATTATTGTTATCTCTGTTTTCTTAATTTTCAAAAAACAGGTGGGGCTCAATAACATTAAGGAGACTGATTTTGTCAATGTCACAATTCAATCTTTAATGAGAGTCACTCCACTAAGAAACTTTTTCCTCATCCCTAAGAATTATCAACATTGCAAGTCTCCGCTTGTTCATCGATTTGGGGAGCTCACTAGAAAGATATGGCATGCACGGAACTTCAAAGGACAGGTTTGACCTTGTTGACTCCATATTTTTGTCTCTAGTTATTGTTGTTAAGAATGAAAGTGGACATGTGTCAAATCTTTAATGTCTACAGGTGAGTCCGCATGAGTTCCTGCAGGCAGTTATGAAAGCCAGTAAGAAACGGTTTCGAATAGGAGCGCAATCTGACCCTGTTGAATTCATGTCATGGCTGCTTAATACACTGCATGCAGATCTTAGAACTTCAAAGAAAGATAGTAGCATCATCTACGAGTGCTTTCAGGTTTTCTTTCTTATTCTTTATCTACTTTGTTCGTTTTATAATGTATTGCTGTTGCTGCAACTGAACTTGCAGTATTTTTAAGACTAAATATAATGTTCTGTGCTGATAGGGGGAACTGGAGGTTGTGAAGGAGATTCCTAAGAAAGGTATTGAGAAGAAAGAAAATGGTGATGACCAGAATACAGATGTTGTGACTGAAAATAATGGCATTGTCAAGGAAAGGTACAAAATGCCTTTCTTAATGCTTGGATTGGATTTGCCCCCACCACCCCTTTTCAAAGATGTTATGGAGAAAAACATCATACCCCAGGTACCTATGTCTTAGTAGTGTGTTGGAAGTTCATTCTTTAATTGCCTTTTTTTATATTGGTTTTAATGTCTTTCTCATAATTTCCATGTTTATGTTTCTGAATAAAAACATGTTGGAATTTGCTTCAATTACATACATTGCCTCTATGTTCGCAACTTGTGGACCAGGTAACTAGATTGCTTTGCGGAGTCTGTAATTTATATATCTTTGTAGACTGTTAAGATGGATATATTCCTTATTTTCATTGGTCTGTATAGAGGCTAGTTGATTTTTTATTATCTAAATATGGGGGTTCAGTCTGTCTTTGTGCTCCTGTTCTATAACGTATATAGTTACTCAAGTTCTAATTGCAAATTAGAAATACAGCAACTGTTCTTTGTGCCAAGCAATTTGGTTCTCCATTTTTCTTGAATATTAAACTGAGCCCTGAATGATGCCAAAGCATGCCCTTTACTTTATGCATGTCTCATCAGTCTCGCATTGTGCGCTTTTTAAATGTTCATAGCACACCTATGCTATCACTACACCTTATTCCAGAAATGGTATGTGGGGAAGAGAGAATTGATGATGAGAATTCTTTTTGAGTTTTGTTTTAAAAATGTTTTAATATTATTTTTTAAAGTTTGTGTGTTATGGTTTAGGTCCCACTGTTCAACATCTTGAAGAAATTTGATGGGGAGACTGTGATTGAAGTGGTCCGACCTTGCATAGCAAGGATGAGGTATCGAGTCACCCGATTACCACAGTATCTTATTCTCCACATGCGGCGATTTACCAAGAACAACTTCTTTGTGGAAAAGAATCCGACTTTAGGTGAGATTACATGTTTCTGGAGTTTATTTTCATTTGGATAATCATTTAAGGCCATGGATCCTTGCCTGATCAAGTGCAACCTTTTGCCAACTGATGTAATTCCTATTGCAGTCAACTTTCCTGTGAAGAACCTTGAATTGAAAGACTACATCCCCTTGCCAACCCCAAAAGAGAATGAGAGATTGCATTCAAAGTATGATTTGATTGCCAACATTGTTCATGATGGCAAACCTGGTGAAGGTTCATACAGGGCATTTGTACAGAGAAAGTCAGAAGAATTATGGTAAGTCTATTCCATACTTATTGGCATAAATGTAAACTAAGAGAAATGCAACTGTATGTATGGGCTAACATCTGGAAATGTTTTCAGGTATGAGATGCAGGATCTTCATGTTTCAGAAACTCTTCCCCAGATGGTTGCCCTTTCTGAGACTTATATGCAGATATATGAGCAGCAGCAGTAAACTTGGGACAGTTTCAAGTGCCATGGTTGACGGATTAGGTGGTTTTTAAGCCTATTCTGGGAGTCGAGTGGTTTCATACATGAGGAAAACAAGACGAGGGGAAACATTTTTTGAGGTGGCATTTGCCTGAGTTTGTGAGTTTTATGGTTCCATGGATTCTGTAAGTTGTTAGTTTTGACCAAATTTTGACAGCGAAGGAGTTGATATTATATGGTTACCCAAAGAAAAAACCCTCGGTACTTTAGAGTAGGCAGCTGTAAAGTGCTGAAGGAATGTAGCAAACTGTTTGATAATGATCTCTGTTCTAAATGCCCAACCTAGAATATTATTTCCTTTCTTCTTTTCAGTACTAGGATTGGGTTGATTATTCATATAAGTATAGCTTTTATCTGATTGCCTATGATTTGTTCCAAAGAAGCTTCTTGAGCATATAAGATTATTTGCATAAAATTCAATTGCGTTAGTCTTGTGCTGTCTGCTGAGGGCTAACATTAACATTAGATTATTAAACAAACATAATTTGCAAGTGGTTTAATGGTGGTTTGGACTTAATCAAATGTTTTAAAAGTTTTCTTAGCTTGAAGTCAATGGGCCTTGTCAAGGGCTTTAGGGTATGTTTAATTAGTATTTTAAATTACGTTTTTACCCTCTTCACTATTTAGCTCTCATTTTTCTTTTTTCAATGTTGTGCCCTCATATTTGTTTCTGTTCAAGCGCTCTCTACTAGGGGTGGGCATCTTAAACCAAAATACCGAAACCGTACCATAACCGCACCGTACCATACCGATTTCATACCGTTTCATTTGGTATGGGGAGATATTCAGTACCGTACCGTACTGTACCAATAGAATATGGTATGGTAGCGGTATCAAGATTTTGGTATCGGTCAATACCGTACCGTACTGAATAGTATAACTTTATGTTTTTGCCATTTATGTTTGGATTGTGTTTGTATTTTTGTAAGCCATAAGACATAATTTTAACCATTTTGTTTTGTAAGCCATAATGCATGAGTTTTTACCATTTGGGTTTGATGAATTTGTTGATGGATAAATATTGATTTGGTTGATTTGGATGTTGAATATGTTGATTAGGATTTGGATATTGAATATGTTGAATATTTGAATTTGTAACTTATGTATCACTTATTTTGGTGTTGAATATTGAATTGGTTCATTTTTTAGTTGTATCATTTTGGTACCTAAAAGATACCGATACCGTACCGATACCGATTTGGCACGGTACGGTACGGTACCCGTTTTGACAAACTATAATCCCATACCGTACTATACCGATTTAAATTTCCGTTATCGGTAGCAGTACAGACTCAATACCGTACCATACCGTACCGTACCGTGCCCACCCCTACTCTCTACTATTTCGCCCTGGTCTTTTCTTCGTTCTCTGATTTTCATTATGGCTAGCTAGATCCTTCATGCATTTTGTGATTGCTATCCTTCATGCGTTTCGTGATTGCTATCCTTCATGTGTTTTGATGTGATTTGAGGCATCGACTGTAGGTTTTGATTTTTGTTCAATTTGTTTCCCTATTTGAGCGATTCATTGATTTGGTTTAATTCTTTTTTTTTTTTTTTTTTTTTTTGTGATCAGATTGGAGTTTCTTTTATGTTTCGTTGTTGTTTCTATGATCAGATCTTGAAGTCTTGTTTGTGTTCAATTTTTCTATGTTGGGCGTTGTTCTCTTGTTATGATTCTAGTTTTAAAATGTGCGTCTAGAAAAATATGCACCATTAAATTAAGAAACTATTGCTATGCGCGGCATAGTGCACGTAATTAAAAATAGAAAAAGGATACAAATGTTTTTCAGTAATTAATTTAAACTGGGCTAACGAATTTGGGCCTCCTTTGATGTAAATCCAAAATAAAATTTGATTCCTATGTATCAAAATTCAAACAAAAATATTAGAGGTATCAAATCCTCATTAATGAGGATTTTTATCATTAATACCTAATTTTTCTATTAAAAACGAAGCAGAATTGCATCATGAGAGGCTAGTATTACAGAAAGGACATAAGTTTTTTTTTTTTTTTTTTTTGGTTGGTAAAAAAGACATAAGTTTGAAATATTTTCACGTGTATTTGTTTAAGCCCTTCTAAATGTTCTTTTAAATATAAAAATTGAGACATTGGTGTTGTGGTGCGTAAACGGTCCACTAGTCAAATTTGGTCTTGACCAAAAAAATAAAAAATAAAAATTGGTCGGGTGTCTTGTGGATTCCCCCGAAAATAGGAGCAGGTCTGGCCGACGAAGATGGAGTACGAGAACAAACTCGTCCTTGCTCCCATGGTTCGCATTGTGAGTACCTACTTGTACTTCTCCCACAAACCCTTCTAGCTGCCGTCGTTTCTTTCTTTTCTATTTTTATCTTGGGTTTTAATACAAAATTAACTTCTAAGTACTGTTTAATTCATGCTATTTACTTGTAAATTTCTTAAACTGGTTAGGGGACGCTGCCATTTAGATTACTGGCTGCTGAATATGGTGCGGATATAACCTACGGTGAGGAAATTATCGATCATAAACTTGTCAAATGCGACCGCAGATTAAATGGTACATTTTATTTTTTTGCTACAAGTTATTGATTCATGGTTTTGGTTATAAATTTCTGTAAATTTTGTTAATATTTGTCCTGGAGAGTTACGGAAGCAGATAATTTGGTGTATATTGCTTGTGGGGTACTTCATTTTTTGACAAGCTTTATGAATTTTTTTTGTGCTCGTTGCTCAGAGAAAATAGGGTCCATTGATTTTGTGGAGAAGGGGACAGGAAGTGTCGTTTTCAGGACTTGTGATGAGGAAAAAGATCGAGTAGTGTTTCAAATGGGTACTTCTGATGCTGTAAGGGCTCTCACGGCTGCTCAGATGGTGTAAGTTGATTGTTGTTGCATTCCATTGTTCTCCTTTTGTTGTGAAGTTCGTAATGTTTTGAGATTGGTCGATTTTATCTTAAAAAGTAACATAAATTAATTGATATAGTCAGTGGATTGCAACTTTAAGTTGATACTCTTGCTTCTATTGATTGTGAGAGCTCAAGGTGATCAATATGGTTTTTATCGAAGTCATCAGGATCATGGGATGTGTGGGAAGACAATATGCTCCTGTGGTCTTGTATTCACTATTTGAGCTTGGGGTTCATTTTGAACCACTTATTGCTTCTGTAGGAAGCGCAAAACTCAGAAGTACATGGGTGAATACGTGAACAATTGCATACAAGCCTGTAAATTAATAGGTTAAAGCATTTAGTGATTTGAATAAGTTTTGCTAAGTTTAGGTATGTTTACTACATGTTCCTAAGTTTTTTCCTTCAGATTTTCACCTTTTATTTATTTTTTTCTTCCAAATATATCGTGCAATGTTGGATCATAGATAAGTTGTTTTTAACTGTAACCCATTAAAGATTGGCTGTAATTGAATCAACCCTTAAATCTCTTTTCTTTGAAAGAATCAGGTTTAGGCAGACAACTTGTTTTGAAAATGTGGCTTTATCTTTGTTTGGGTTCATGCATAGAATGGTGGTCTGGTATCTACTCTTCCTGGCTGAACCTGTTGTGTATCTGTTTCATCTCATGCCCCAATCTGATCTTCTTACTCAATTTGGACAAAACACCCAAGTATGTGATATGGGTCTGTGTCCATCTCAATGTAACATATGCGCTCGTCTCAACAGTATCTTATATACTTATTGACCTTTTTCCTTTTAGGTGTAAAGATGTTGCAGCAGTGGATATAAACATGGGTTGTCCAAAGTCATTTTCTGTGAGTGGAGGAATGGGTGCTGCGTTGTTGACTAAACCAGATCTTATTCATGATGTATACAATCTTGTTTCCCCGAAGATACTTTTTATTCCATCCGAAGAGTGTTTGCAGTTGATTCCTAACTCACTTTTTTCCGTTCTGTTCAGATTTTGACTACATTAAGAAGGAACATGAGTATACCAGTGACTTGTAAGATTCGACTACTAAAATCATCTCAGGATACTGTGGAATTGGCCAGGCGAATTGAAAAAACTGGAGTTTCTGCTCTGGCTGTCCATGGAAGGTGATCTCTAATATATCCTATTGGTAAAGTTGCGCTTAGCATGCTATGTTATCATTTTAATTTAGCCCCTCACTCAACTGTAGTTGAAGATGGAATCTATGTAAATGGATGTAATGGGTTCCCTCTCACAGCTGGATGTACGACATTCTAACCCCATTTTATATCAAACCATAAGATAACAAACCAAAAGCAACCCTAATAGAACCCTAGTTCAAAACTAGCTATTCTTACCCCTGGTTATGTGTTAGTTCAGGTTCTGCTAACACCCCTAGAACCCTGTTGTTGTTACCCCCGTAAATCCTAACTTTTGTATTAAAAAAAGAAAAGAAAAGTACTCTTAGGTCCCAAGATTTAAACCTGCCATGCTGTCCTGTATAAAGGCTGTCAACGTAAATCTTGAATTGGATTTTAGTCAGAAAGAGGTTTATTAGAGTATGATGATAATCATAAAAAGAGATAAGGTGTTGAGTTGTAACAGCTTAGTGAACATTGGGCCAAAACAAAAATTACCTTAGAAAAAAGAACACAAGACGAGGTGAGTACCAATATTTGAGAGCATGGGAGGAATAAGAAATGTGAAGCATGGTAATTTTGGGAGCCATCATTAAGACAATGACACCAACTTTAGTCCTGTATTTGGAAAGCCATTGGTTTCAACACCAATGGTAATCTGCGGATCAGACACTGCTGCCGTAAGTGAAGAGAACTGTCAAGACTGAATAGGTCAGGAAGTGGAACTACCAACTGTAGAATTTGTTGGGAGTGAAATCAAACGAGGACACCTATGCCCTACCCTAATTCTGCTTTTTGAAAACTGTAGGTTCAACTGTCATGAAAAAGAAATCTTATTTGCATAGGATGCTATAAAAGTATCAACTGAGGGGGAAAAACCAGCTTCAAAGTTGGCTATATGTCAATTTTAAACAAATGGAACTACGTATCTATACCCTATTGCCTTGCAATGTTACATTATAAAGAATGGAAAACAACTGACAGATAAGTGTAACATTGCAAAGCAATAGGGTATAGATAAGTTTAAATTGGAATCCCTATGAGTCAAATGCATCTTGATAGGTTTTTCATGCTACATATTGAGTCACTTCAAATATAAGGATAAATATTTTCATCCCATTATATTTCTTTAAAGTGGGATGGTCCCACTATGTCTTTGTAATAGTGAAATAATATCAATCTATTTGTCTCAATTGCATGAAGTTCGGTCTGATGCTTTTCTTCTCAATAAAATGCAGAAAAGTTCCAGATAGGCCGCGAGATCCGGCTAAGTGGAGTGAGATTGCTGATGTTGTAGCATCACTATCCATTCCAGTTATAGCAAATGGCGATGTTTTTGAGTATGACGATTTTCAGCGTATTAAAGTTGCTACAGGTAGCAGTAATACAATCTTTAAATAATCTTTTGATAATAGAATTTCTTTAGGACCATATCACACTGTCAGATAAATATGTTAGAAGCCCGCTTCATGGGACCAGGCAATGAATGTAACATTGTGTGTCATTAAAATGGTAAAAATCACAAAATATGTTCCCATTAAACGGAAAAAAATCTAGCAAGGCTCAATTTGGATCTAGGGTTTAATAAAATAGGTTTGGATTTTGGCAATAAGCTTACTATGGTTAGAAGAACCCTAAATATACTAAATATAGTTTCTTCGAAATGACTACATATAATGTTATGTTATGAATTTGAAATGACTAGTTTCAATTGAATCCACGTATTTCCTCTGTTTCGTCCTATGCAATACAACCTTTTATGCATTGTTAAGATTATGCTCACACAATTTAAATAAGCATCTTAAATTTGAAATCTCGCATTCCAAATGGAATTTAAGATTATGTATACATATTATATGGGTATTTGTGTGTGCTTTGAATGTATTAATGATGCACGCAATTTCTAAAGGTACCTCATCTGTGATGGTTGCAAGAGGAGCACTTTGGAATGCTTCAATTTTCTGTCCGAAGGGAAAATTACCATGGGAAGACGTGAAGAGAGAATATGTTAGGAAGGTAAGCTTCTCCTAGTGATTTTATTTTTTCAGTTGTGCGTCATAGAATAAGATATTGGTCATTTTCCCCAAGTGGCATGAGAGTCAATTTCATGTTTTCAACTCATGGCATGAGAGTCAATTTCATGTTTTCAACTCAGACATATTTGAAAATCTTTTACAGTGCATTTTTATTTATTATAATAGTAGGTCAGCGTATCCACGTTCACACTTTTATCATGAGAGACTGGAACTAGGCATGCTAACCTGTTTTTGTACTTTTCACTGCAGAGTATCTTATGGGATAATGATATTAAAAGCACAAAGCACACACTGAAGGAAATGATAATGCATCATTCTTCCCTTGAACTCCCAGAAGGAAAGGCTGTGATAAAATCAGATTCCTTGGTAGATTTAGCGTAAGTGTGGTTTAGATTGCTTATGCACTGACACTACCCATTCTATAAGTTCATCTCTGTTCACTGCTTGCACGATCCCTAACCCTGGACCTGGATCACTTTTTTCCATGTAATATTCCCTAGGGTTTGTGATGATTACTGAAACTAGAAATTCTATGAGTATTTTTATGCCTTTTCTGTTCTGTATCACTATCAGCAATATAAACCCGTGTGTTAGTTAACTAATTGTACAATCTTCCCCGCTTTTTCATTCTCAGGCGGCTCTATGGAGAGGAGAAGAGTTATGATTTTTTTGTTAAAAACTGATTCTTTGTAAATGAAAAGTAGATATATACTGATCGTGGTCCTTGTAGGGCAGTGTTTGCCATCTATCTTCAGGACAACCAAGTGAGTTTTGCTTTTCAGTTATACGTTTCATACATCTATTCTGCTAACTAGACACCAAGAATATAGGGTATATTTACCACTGACCACTTCATTTTGTACCCCACTATGTTCTGTTTAAATCTGTTGCTTCATGCATGGTAGTTAAAAAAGTAAGAAAATTGTTTATCAGAAGCTGGCGAAGGCTATAAAGTTCGATGTCCTGCTATCATTATTCCTTGTCCACCTATTTGTACATTGAATGGATATTCTATTACCAAAATTCTGAAAACAATGTGTTGTGCAGGTTATATTACCATTATTGGGGACACGCTAATTTTAATTCGCCTAAGATTGGCTGGTGGTCTTGGCTTGTAACAATGCAGATTTGGTGCTTTCTAAAGCACTATTTCTTCTTGAATTTATTTATCCCAATTGTAAAAGTTTTCTCAAGTTCCCGAGAAATGGAGTTTGATAACAGTCTTGCAAACCTTACATTTACTTCAGGATTATTTACTATAGTGCCCTTGAACTTCGGTTAAATCTCACTTTACCCCTCGAAAGTTGAAGTGACATATTTAACCCCCTTGACTGTGATTTCGTGTTCTACTTTACCCCATACTGTTATCTTCGTTAATAAATCTGTCAATTTTGATGACATGTCATAGATATTTTAGTTTTTTACAACGAGTGATGATGTGTCATGTGAATGGTCTACTTTTTTTTATTTAAATTGAATGAAATATATAATAAAATAATGTAATTACTTGTTTAATTAAATATATATATATGTAATGAAAAATTAATAATTAAAAATCTTTCTTCTCTATGCTTTAAAAAATCCTTCTTTTATAGGCACCTTCTATAGTGCAACTGGCGCATGGGTGCGCCATTTGTCCTTGCTGAAGCATGTGTAGTGCACATGCCAATTGATTTGTAAAAATAAATAGAAGAGAACCTGCTATAACAGGTCAAGGTAATAGGTTTTCTCTTGGGCCTTTCTACGCTATAGCATCTCTCCATCTCAACCCTAATCCCTCATCTCATTTAAGATTTTTTTTCATAAACAAAAAGGCTCCCGCTCTTTTATCACTTTGTCGACAGCGACCAACAAACAACCTATCTCACAGATTGATAAGCTCTCCTCTCTCTCGACAATAACAAAGGTTTGATGCAAACTGTGTGCGGCATCTTCAATCTCAACCCATGTATAATGTCTTACTGCTGTATATTCGAATCTTAAACCCCATCTCATCACAGATTTAAGATTCACTGAAAACCCCATCCCTCAGCAACAATTATTTTCCTTGGTTTTGTTTCATATTTCTTTTTTATTATCTTCCATTTCTTGTTTAGCCTAATATTTTCTGGGTTTTATTTTGTTCAGGTTTTTTGTTGAATTTTTTTGGCATTCCAAGTTTACTTTATTATTTGTTGGATTTGCTCTCAACATCCGCTTGGTATGCAATTTTATATTTAAATTCCATTTTTTGGCAGGCCAGATTGAAGTTCTAGAACTTGTTACTTATCATTCATATTATACGATTTATGCCTGGGAATAAATATTTTTCATAATTTTTGAAATTTCCATTGATATTATTTGTGTTGAATATGAATGGCGCTCCTCAAGTTCATATTGAATGTTGAAATTTCCATTCATATTTTTCATATCGTTAATAATAAGTTTGGTGGTGATTTTGGTGGCTTTTTTATTTTAATAATGTACTTGTGTATGATATGGATAATGAGTGAATTTATTTGGGGCTGCTGCTTTTACTAGCACAAAACAAATGCTTGCATGTAGGATTTTGTTTGAGTTATTGTCTTCTTCCATGCGTGAACAAGAGCAGAAACTTATAGTGCAATTGTTTCAGAAAACACAAGTTTTTGATGTGTGGTGCATTATGCTATTAAGACCATAAATATTGTCACTGACTGGCAAAAATAAGAGCAGAAATTGTGTTGTAGTTTGTGATGTATGCGTGTACTATCTAAATAATAACACAACTCATGCAATGCAAACAAATATTTCTAATTCCGGTAGTCTCAGAAAAAAGTTAAGCGATGCAATTTCTGTTAGAAATCAATTAAAGGCCAAGTTTTGGCAAGTGATTGCATTTCTTGTGTTGAATTTAGTTTATTTCTGTCTGTCAATTGCATCACTATTAAGTACTTGCATAAGTAACATTATGCAATTGCTTATGTAATTCTTGTTGCTTTTTAATGTTTGAACTTTTATTGTTTTTTTCACTGTTTTCTGTCTTTTACGCTTTGCATGCTTCAGGTTTTTCTTGTTTATGTTTCCTGGCTTTTGTATAAGCCTTAGTTTTACAGTATGTCTAACCTCTTTGATATTCTTTCTATTTTGTGTAAGATCTCTAATTTGATGTCAAGAAATGATTTTTCATTCTCTGTTTGACATAGAGGCTAGACCAAACTATTGGTTAAGGCTCTGTTTTAGGGTAGTTTAGTTCAATGGTCATACAAGGATATCTTTCCAATTTGAATATATTTTAGGGGAGTTTAGTTCAATAAATCTGTTTTATTGAAATACCTCTCTCGTTGAATCTGATTTTCAATGGATCATGACATAGTGTTGTTTTTCATAATAATCATATTCATGTAATAATTATAACCATCAATATGTTCTTGATGTTAGAGTAATACTTATGATTGAATTTTTTATATGAGAGTAATACATAGGATTCACATTCTATATTGCATTTTGTAACCCAATTGAGAATAATGATTTTTATTTTATGTTTTGTGTAGGTGTTCAATGTGTCTCCAATTGGATGAGACTGATCTTTATATTCTATATTTTACGTTGTAACCTATAATGTTTTGAAGACAACTTGTTTTAGATAGCCCTTTTTTTGTTGGATTTTTTGTTATGTATTTAAAGTTATTTAATTTATGCTATTGTAAATAAATGCAACTGTCGTGCTAGAATATACCAGTTACAGACGAAAAATTACAAAGTACATGTTCTTGTTATTTTGTAGTTATACATCATTTTGAACTTAAGTTCTCTAATTGAAAGCAAATTTTGCGCATTATTGGTAGTTGAGCAAATGTGTTCAAGCGGCCCAAAATAGGAGGGGCAGAGTACACTGACATTTCATTTCTTTCAGTACTATTATCACCACCATGCATCTTCTCTACCTCACTAAAATCAATCATGTCCATGAAATCTGTCCTAACACCACCTCCCACATCAGCGACATTTGTATTATTCTGAGTTACTTCATTGCTTTCAACAATGGCAACTGAAGAACAACCCATCTGACTACTATCTGTTGTGATATGCATACTATTAATTACATCATTTGTCAGTTCTTTATCTTCTATACTCATGAGTAAGGGAGCTAGTTTTGAAGGTGTTACCTCACAATCGTACTTCATAAAAAATTTGACATCATCATCGTCCTCAATCTTTATGTGCTTCCACTCATTCGAGGCCACCAAAACTGAGAACTTTAAGCAAACCTTGTCTTTCCTGCTATTTATATTACCAATCTGATGCATACGATCCAATAATTCAGCAAATGTGATGGTACGTGGAACTATTAAGCCTTTTGAGTCACCCCTTTCGTATTTGCATATCTTCTTTGAGGTTACCTATTTTCCATTGTAGCAAACCAGAATAACAATCGTCTTCATTTCTGACCATTACAAAACAAGATTTCATGAACACAATACAACCACAATAACCAGACAATACATTGGCAATATAACAACAATATGATAGCAAAATAACAAGAACACAACAGCAATACAACACTAACACATCAGAGAACAATGATTCATCACAATCACACTATAGAAATCTACTACATGAAATGGAAAATCCCAAGTTTCAAGCTTAACATATCCAGAATCTAAATGCAATTGGTAAAAACCCAAATGGATGAGCATGAAGATTCAAAAAACCTAACCGAAAGCAATTAAAGCCAAAATCAATTCAACAAAAACCCAAGCAATCAAAATAAAACCAATTTCACAGAATCCCATAGATAGTAAGAAAATAACCATCAACACTACCTATTCGAGGTCGACGATCTAGTAGAGCTTCAAGGTTGCAAGCAACTATTTAGAAGATATACCTAAAAGATGGGGTTCAAGGAGGTTTTCGTTATTCAGAAAAGAGAGAGAGAGAGAGAGAGAGAGAGAGAGAGAGAGAACACAAATAGAGTGAATAGCGAGTTGAGCGAGCTGAGAGAGAACTACTTTCAGCAAAAGTGATATGTGTGCGAAAATAGGACAATTAATATATATTTATAGGTGATAGTTACAAAAAAATTGGGAAGAGGTGATATTTTCAGTTAAAATTATAAAAAGGGTGGCATTTTGAGCTATTTCCCTTTATTTTTTGTAATTTAAACTTGCCAAACTGAGCTTGATGGCACTGTTTTGATCTCAATGAAAACAAACCCAATATTTTAACACAACAAGCATCACATAGAACATCTTATTAATTTATTTTTTGTAACTTAAACTTGCTAAACTGAGCATGATGCCACTATTTAGATCTCAATGTACATGTAAATAGTGCTATGTTCCCTACGTATTTTGACAGCTTTATACACATTTCATGCAATTTCAAAACCTGCTGCCTTGCACGAGCACCTTTGCTATTGTTAACTGAAAACTGAAATGGAAGAGCCGGTCAAATTTCAAATGTTTCCTTTCCAAAGTACTATTTTTATTTTAGTCCCAAGTCCCTTTTCGCCCCCTTGCCGCTTGTACTATCTTTATTTTAGTCCCTATTCCCTCTTCCGCCTTATAACAAACACCTAGTCCGCATAATTCTCAACCTCTCTATCAATGCTAAGGGCTTTTCCTGTGGTTTCCCGCCTACCCATTCCCTCTCCCACAAGTACTCAGACTACGTAATGCTCGTCAGAGACTCAGAGAACGATGGCTCAGTTTTAGCTTCTTCTTGTTTTCTCTTTCCATTTTAGTAATTTGTAATTTTTCGCAGGAGTGTTTTGAGCAGAATGAGCTCAACAGCCCCATCACCAAAATTCCCAAAATTTGTTCCTGTGGAAGAGAGTACCATCCATTCGATAAGTAAACCTGATGGTATTTACTTATGCTCTTAATTTGTTTATATCTGATTATGTTTGGGTTTGTTTCTTTTGGCCATTGTGTTTTATGGTGCAAAAGAAATTCAGTAAGCATGAATTCTTTGATGTGATATTGCAGGTATCAGGTTTAGTCTTGTGTCGTATAACATTTTGGCTCAGGTATGGCTATGGCATTCACTCGTCTCGCTTAATTTCCCATTTTGTGCCCAATTCATTTTGTTATTGTTTGTTCCTTTTGGTACTTGTCATATGAATTGGTATTTGACAATCCATTGTGTCACACAAAGAACTGGATAATGAGAATAATTATCTTTAGTTAAATAAATGGAAGTTACGATAACAAAACAACTGAATTCAGCTCTTCTTTTTAGCTTTCTATGCGGCCTTGTTCCTACATGGTTTACCCTATAAACAAATAACATTTGCTTCACAGTACTAGAGAGGTAGGAAAACTGAAAATTTAAAATTTTCTCATTCTCAAGTCAGCTCTTATTTTTATTTTTATTCTATAACTTTCTATGTTCTAATTTTATCAGTAATGGAATGAATGCGAACAAATGGTATTGATTGTATGCAATGTTGTGTGTGTGTGGGACATAATTTATATTCTTTTTGTTGATGATTGGGGCTGAAGGCCCAAATGGAAAGAAAATATAGAGCCGGAAAACTTAACTAACTAATTATGCTTCTGGATTCAGTAATCTCAAAATAATCTTCCACCAAGAACGGAGCATAGATAGGCGGGGGCCCAGTAAACTCATAATAGCCCAAATTATCTTTACCGTGATATAAATTGTAGTGTTGGCTTTATTATGTATGTCATAGTGTATTTGTTTGACAAACTTTGATGAATATGTTATGTTCTCATTATTCCTTGTCAAAATGATATGTTTATGTTTTATTGTAAATTTCATTTCATTTTCTCGTCCTTGGTTCTAGTAATTCTCTTATCCTGTCTTACGGCATAATTTGTTTTTGATGCGGAAACACCCTACAGATTCCATGTCGGGAATTTAAAACCCCTGTGAATGTTAACCGTCATATGTTGATTTCTGTTTTCATATTTTGATCATTTAAGTTTAACAATTTCTGTACTTATTTTTTGTATGTGTAGGTATATGTAAAGAGTTCCTTGTTTCCACACTCTCCATCCCCTTGTCTGAGGTAGAAATCATAACTTAAGTATTTTTTGAATAAGTTGCTCTATTGTTTTCTAAATTTGATATGAATACCTTTCATTATTAGTTATTGTATTGGCATGATATTATAATAATATTGGGTCATAGTATAGCTCAAAATCTTTCCTACTAGGGAACTTAGACCATGTATAATATAGAATTTGGGTATCGTTTTATGTATACAACAACTAGATGTATGTTTTTGCTTGCCCATATGGATTGTTTGAACGCTGCATATGCCTGCTACATGGTTTTTACATTAATTAACTTCAGATTGCAATTATCTTTGGATGGCTTGGTAATATATGTGCCCATTCAGTGAAGTCCCAGGAGTCTTTTTTGGAAATTTTTTCTTCCACGCATATAGAAGTCTTTCACATGCAAGTGCATTTGATCCTGTTAAATAATGAGTTTGGTCTTATGATTGATCTTATTACTAGACAGACTACACAAGAAAATTAGATAGACCTTTTCTTTTCTTTTTGAATAGGAAATGTAATAAATAATAAATAAAAAAAGAGTTGTGAGAAAGATAGACGAGATGGCCATCTAAGTGCAACCAATAAACTGCAAAATTACAAGAAAGTTAAATATTTGGCTAAGTTATGACATTCGTCACAATGTATTTGGTACTACACTCGCTTGAAAGTATTTAAAGTTAATGTATACTTCTTATTGTTCAGATTTTATCTGGGTTACTATACTCTGAACTGGTAATGTTGTGTTTGGAAATATGTTTGTTATAGGTGGAAAGCTCGCTCACAGGCAATTTTGAGTGTTCTCAAGAACCTTGGAGCTGACTTTCTCTGCCTGCAGGTTTGTTTTTCTTGCCTTTGCTATCTTATTTTAAGTTTTCTTTTTTAGACTGGGGAGTTAACATTCCTTCCTGATGGCTGCCTGTTTTGAGTTTAAATACTTGCTATCCCATATATAACCTGTTGTTTTGAACAATATAAAATTATTTCCAGGAAGTTGATGAGTACAACAGCTTTTACAAAGGAAATATGGAGAGCAATGGCTATTATAGTTCTTATATTCAGAGAAGTGGGCAAAAGCGTGATGGATGTGGAATTTTTTACAAGCACGACATGTATGTTTTAATTGATTCCTTTTTCCAGTCCAAAATGTATGAATCAAATATTTTTTAACTAGACATGCCATCAAGAAAAATAGGAAAATAAGAAGGAAGAAAAATAGGACAATTTGTTTGTAATCGGGGCTGGATAATAACAAGGCCTAGTCTTCAATTGCAGGGATGAATACTCAAGAAAGTAAAGTGGCTGATTTAGCCAATTCGTTGGGTAGTGGATTGGGGAGTTGGCGTTTGAAATACCTGGGGCTTCCACTTTAATCCATGGGTAGGTAGTTTTTGGGATCTGGTGGTGAAGAAAGTGGAAAAGAGATTGGAAGAAAGCATTTATCTCAAGAGAGTTAGGATAACTTTGCTTCATTCAGTTTTAGGCAGTTTGCTAACCTATAATCTCTCTACTTTTAAAATTCCAGCACAAGTGGCCAGTTGAATAGAGCAATTGATGAGGATCTTTTTGGGAAGGTTTTAATTAGGGGAAGAAGGATGACTTAGTTGGAGCTAGTGTTTCTGGTTAAAGAGAAGGGCGGTTTGGGAGTTGCCAATTTGGTAAAATAGAAATAAGGTGTTACTTGGTAAATGGTTAAGGAAATTTCTGTTGGATAGGGTTTTCATATGACATGCTGTCATTAGTAAGAGAATGGCCAATTCTAATCCAATAGCAGCGCCAAAGAAGGAAGATGGAAAGTATTCTTTGTAGACTCGCACCGCTAAGAGGTTCATTTCACTGCCCTTTGAAAGACACTTACCAAGGTTTAGACTCTTTTGTGTCTTGTTGCCATTTTGGGGTGGATAATGGAGGGTCAGATTTTGAGAAGAGAGTTGGGTTGTGGATACTCTGTCGATAACTTTTGTGTCTTTACAGATTGTCCATATACCGTAGTTTTGACATATTTAGAATGGTCAGTTCTTTGCTTCCTTTAAGTGGAGGTTTAGGCTTTCACGGAAACTTGAGTGGATCTGACATTGGGTAGGTCACTTCTTTTCTACTTTCATTGGAAACTGTTATTTTGCAGCCCTCTAGTCCAGATAGGAGGGGTTGGATGTTGGATTCTTCGGGAGTTTTTCTTGTAAATGTTATTTCAAGGAGTTATTTGATAATCCATCTATTTTTTCGTTTCAAACCTATTCTATGATTTGGAAGGTTTAATTTAAGTGCCTCCTATGTGCCCTTGCTTGGATTAAAGGTCATGGTAGGGCGAACACTTGTAACTTGATTCAATGATGAATGTTCGTCTTCTCCCCGATCATATCATGTGCAAAAGGAGGAAGGGAACTGTGGACGATTTATTTCTTATTGTCCCATTGCATTGGGGTTAAGATTGTTTGGGGAGGCTGCATTATGTTGGGTGATTCCAGCAGCTTCTCTTCTCTCTTTTCTGAAAGGCACACTGCTTTTGGGGTGGAAAGAAGGCTAAGGTGGTATGAAATTGTGACGTACTGGCTGTATTCTGGGTAGTGTGGTAGGAAAGGACTGAAAGGATTTTTAAGATTTTAAAGGGGAAGGGCATAGGTTGAATTTGATAAACTAGGTTTTGTACTTCATTTTGGGCTTCCGTTTCTTTGGAATCTTGGGAAATTCCATATTTGTTTGCCAATTTTGAAGATTGGAAAGATGTTTATCTAGATGTTATGGTTTTTATTGTACGTTAGCTTGATCACCTTGTCTCTTTGTATTTAGTTGATACCTCATCCACGAAAATTTTAACTGTTCTGATTCTAAAAAACTTTTGTTTCATGTCCAAAAAAAAAAAGGTTTAATCCAAAAGAAAGGAGGGGCTAAGCCTAGCAGGGAAGTAGTAGATTAAGAAATACAAGAGTTAGGTTAAGTGAAAAGAAATATTAGGGTTCTTAAAAAGAATTAAAGAAATATTAGGCAAGTCATATTTATCCCCTATTTGGCTCACCTACAATGTCAATGTCATGGTCTCATGTAGTAGTCGATGCTAATGCTCAATTATTTGAATGTCAAAACTTTTAACATTGTCTCTAGTGTTGGGAGATAGATTTACATTTTCCTCTCCAGCTATTTTAAACTTCTCAGTGTTGTGTTACGTATTCAAATTTGAATCTAAAACTATCTTAATTGTGCTTGTTTAAATGTTCTTCGTCCTTCAGGGCAGAGTTGCTGTTAGAGGAGAAAATAGAATACAACGATCTTGTAGACTCAATTCTAGATGGAAATGGACTTGGTGATGATAAACCTAATAACAAAGAAGCTATCGAAAACAAAGACGATGGACCCAAAATTGGTAACTTGTATTACTTATTCATTATTTTTAAATTCGATCACTTTCCAGGTTCATGTGTTTCTTTGGGTGCTTTTAATTACAGCTTCCTTTTGTCCGGTTACGGATTTTTCCACAGTATTATTGATCATTGATGGCTACAATCTGGTTTCCGGTAAAGTTTCTTCACTCTGTCTTCAGGTTCAACATTACAAAGCGCCCTGGATCAGGGAGACCCTGATGATCCTTGTGTCAGACTGAAGCGTGATTGTGTTGGAATTATGGCAGTGTTCAAGCTTAAAAATCCTTCTAATCATGTTGTTATTGTGGCAAACACACACCTTTACTGGTAAAAGTGGTTTACTCTTTTTTATTTGTTTCCTGCTATATTACGTGGTGTTGTGTTTATGCATCTTGGCCTTTAAGCGTGGATTTAATATTTTTTATTGGTTCAAATTGTAAAGAGTATTGATGTTTATGCTTCAGGGATCCAGACTGGGCTGACGTTAAGCTTGCACAAGCTAAATATCTTCTATCGCGCTTAGCTCAATTTAAAACATTGGTATCCCAGAGATTTGACTGCAGTCCTTCATTAATTTTATCTGGTGACTTCAATTCAACTCCAGGGGATAAGGTTTGACGCCCTTAAACTTCTTTCAATTTACCCAGTTTCCTCTTCCTATTGTCTATGGCTTGGTTTTGTTTGAATTGGTTCAGTTCAGATCCTTTGGGTTTTAGTCATTTACCAGTGTGGGAACATAGGGGGATTGAGAAAATAGGAAATGTGGTTGGAAATAGCAGCACTCGTGAGTAACCATATTGACATAGATTAATATGAGAGGTAAAAACTTGCCCGAAGTTTGGCTCAAATACTTTCTTCTTTTAGTTCTTCTAGTTGGTGGCAGCTTGTTGAAAGAGCAGTACCCTGGGGGATAAGGCTTATCACACACTTTCACTTCTTAGTTGACTTGGTTTCCTCTTTGCATTGCCTATTGCATGTGCTTTGTGTGAATACTTTCAGATTCTTTAGGTTTTATCCTTTGCCCTTTCAGGCAGGTGGTGATGCATGCCTGCATGGGGTACACAAAAATAAAAAGATAAATTGATGCGAGTGTGAGTAAAGATAAAATAAGAAGGTACAAATTGTTTGTGGAGATGTACTGCCTTATCTGTACAGAGCTCCTCAAAGTATACATGCCAAAGATTTGCAAGCTGAGCTAAAGTTGCCGGCAAGTAGCTGGGTCGCTTAGAAAATATTTTACTTCAATGACCTCCAATACTTCCACTAGTTCTAACATTTTGAACATTCCAGGTTTACCAGTACCTTATTTCTGGCAACTCTTCATCTGCACCCTCGATAGATTTTGTAGATCTACCTATTCCCTTGTGCAGCGCATATGCTACTACACGAGGTGAACCACCATTTACAAATTACACTCCTGGTTTCACTGGTACACTTGATTATATATTCTTTTCCCCTTCTGACTGCATAAGACCAGTCAGTTTTCTTGAGCTTCCGGAACCAGGCTCGTCTGATCTTGATGGTGGATTACCAAACTTCAGTCACCCAAGCGATCACTTACCAATTGGTTTTGTTTTATTTTTGCAAATTGACGCATAAGATTTTGTTTACAGTGCCGTATTGTTACCATTGGAAGAGGTGAGTTTAGACTCGACAAAATTGTTGAAAAGTCGAGGCAGTTTAAGGGGTAAACAAATTTTATGTTATCAAATAATTATTGTGGACAAATAAATAATAAAATAACAGATGTTTTTAATATTTGCCTTGAGTTAAACATTATTTTTAGGCAAATGTTTGGGTGAAAGCGTTATCTAAGTTATGAAATGATACATTTGCTTCAAATATTTTTCTGGTTGAAAACACCTTTGTCAAATAAATCTTTTTTTCGTTTGGAAATCATTACCGAAGAAATATTGAACAGAACATGTAAGAAGTATTGTCCTCGTCTCTAAAGGTAAAGACTGTGACACTTCGTATCAACACATTATCTATCACTTGTACACTCTGCCTACTCAAAGTTATAAAGACTTATATAACTTGTAATTTTCTTTTCCTTCAGCCTTTAATCATGGGTTTTTTAATTATCTTTTACTCTGATCTTGGATGTGAGGACTGGAGCTACGAATTCCTCGCATTAGCAGCATAATTTTGGGTTAACTTCTCCAAATTGAGAAGAAGAAAAAAAGCAATTATAAACTCCCCACTTTTCGTAATTAAGAAAAATGTACATATATAATACTGAGGAGTTGAATGGATATCACATGTACAACATCATGAACATTATAAGTCTTCACTAATTATTAATTACAGAATTAGTACGTAAACCTCCAGTAGATATAGAAAAGGGAAAAAAACACACACACCATTTTTCCATAGGTAGGTTCTCATCAATTTTTAATTCTTCATGCGTGCAATAGATGCTCATGACTTATTAATTAACATCCAAGAAGGTGAAAGGAGTAACTGGGATTGACAAAATAAGGATCCACCAACATGACTTCATCATATCCCAGTGCCCTTTTACTATCATCACCATCAAATAATGCATCACAGCGAACTCGTTGTAAAATGCTCTTGCTTTCCTTAAGATGTAGCTAAAACAAGATGTCAGGTACCGAAACCCTAACTGGCAGGCAGCTTCTTGTGCCTCGAATCGTCCCTTAAACTTGCTCTTTTTTCCCTTCACGTATTCTTCATCACTTTCCAGCTTAACATGGTTCAAACTGTTATGCTGGTGACCGAAATATTGATGTTGCAGTGAATCGGGTGATGATGTATAATTCATCATCACTCTTTCTCTGCATGATGCTAGTTTGGTGAACTTTCTGCAATGGTGCTTCCCGGGGTTGGACTAGGCATAAGAGTTGGGAGGCCAAGAGACAGGTAAAATTGATTAGTGGTATGCAGTGAATGTGAAGAATTAGACCACGCTTTGCTGTCCTAATTGTGTATTCATTTTTATGAAACTATTCCACTAAGTGTGGTTGTGCCCAAGTCCTAAGTTTCATGTTGTGTTTATCATATGAAATCTGACTTCACATGATTCTTACCAGATGAAATATAACCCATTCCCAGCACCAGAAAAGGGGGAGAAAAAGAAAAAGACGCACAGACAAAATCAAGAACTGGATCGAGGATTGATTGATTAAGATCAAAGGCTACTGCTTGGCGTGAGGTTGAGGAAAAGTGCCTTGGCATCCTTGCAAGCTCATCCTGTGCAATAAAACTATGATAAACTATGAAAACCAACAAGCAAAAAAAGAAATCAAGTAACAAAAGATTATCTTCAGCCACGTAACCAAAGAACAAGAAGAAAAAACAAAAAACAAAAAAAACGGAAAAATGAAAGTCGAAATGAAAGAATCTCTCCACAGGTACCGCTTACCAGACATGGATGAGATAGGTCATATGATGATTTTCCTAATTGGCATGCACATTTGAATGTGAGTTGTAAATAAGCCACTCGTGTAGAGTGGGATGTGTTTTTTCCGTGGAGACATTTAGGATCAGGTCAACCGTCCGACCACTCTTACAATAAAGGAACTTTTGGTGTGTTTTTTCTGTGGACACTTTTAGAATCATATCATTCGTCCGACCACTCTTACAAGAAAGGAACTTTTGAATTTATATTTCATCCTAATCAACGTGGATTCCACCACAAATACAAGTGGCATTTTAGTGAACATGCCTTGACAAGATGCATGGTGATGCCTTTCAAGTCTCAACACATTTATTTATGGTGACGAGCACTTAGATATACAATCACATCTTCTTTTGTAATGGAGCATAAGCTATGATATATTGGAAGTGGGCTAGCAAGCAAGCAAAGGTCCCCCAAAATTTATGGAACTATGACATGCTTGACCAAATCATATTTGCCTATATTGGAAATACCTGTCGAAATGGGTAGGCTAGTTATGATGAGAAATTTTGACCCTCACACCAGCTAATGGGGAATACAAGATATGGAATCTGGTACATTTCCTTACAATTAAATATGTCCTTGTGATGACCCTCACATCAGCTTCCAGCAAAGTTCGGTGCATTCTGAGACTTCTTTTATGATTGTCTATTTTACAACCATATCGCATTGTGGTGTTGATAAATCTTCTCTTCATAATCATGCTGCCTGCCAAACTTGAGGGCTCAAATGTGTTCTTTCACCTACTCATCATCATCACCAAACACAAACTATTGTTTTTTCTTCAGTAAATGTGATCGAATCTTTCTATTGGAAGCTACCAAGGGCCATACAAAAGTTGCATTATATTATTACAGTAAATCCCAGAGTAGAGCCATGTCCAAGTTGGACCAAATAATTACTATAATTTATGGTAAAAAGTCACTTTCGGTTCTTGTAATTTGCCATTTTTATCATTTTGGTTCCTATCGATTCAATTTGGTCAATTTTGTTCCTCCGATTTCAATTTGAAGCAATTTAAAGACAATCCTCAATTTCTATCAATTTTTTTTTTTTTTTAACTCGTAGAGGGAAAATTCGGTCTATAAATTATTTTTTTTTTAAAAAAGCATTCCTTTTAAAAATAAATATTAAAAATAAATATTAAAAAAATTAAAAAATAAAAGCTAACCCCTCTCCCCTCCCAACCCCACCCCTTCACCGCCACCCCAACCCAGCAATGCCCAAAAACCACCATCCACCGACCACCACCTAGCCAACCGCCGTCTACCGGTCAAACCCCAGCCTCGCCCAGAGAAAGAGAGAGAGGGAGATTCATAAAGAGATAGACAACGAGCCTTGCCCAGCCCTCATCCCTCCAAACCCGACACCCATTCCCACCCCAACCATATATCCAGCCCACCCCTTCGCTCGGAAAATACGAAACCTGGACCAACCCGCGCACCGCGCCCACCCCCATCCCCAGCCAACCTCCCTCTTTCCAGATCCGACGAGCCCCACACTAGATTCGTCATCTTCATCTTCGTTGCCAAGGCCTCATCACCGTCTTCGTCAAGGCCACGCCATCGTGTTCGTCGCCAAGTTCTTCGCCCACCGGAACCCACAGATCCATCCCCACTAAGTCTAGATGCGAGAGAGAGAGAGAGATATATATATATATATAAGGAAGGAGGTGATGGTTGGGTTTGTCGGAGGAGGAGGGGGCTGCGTTTTTGGATGGGGTGTCTTGATAAATTTTGGGGGGAGAGAAAGAGAGGGAGGAAGGAGGTGGAGAGAAAGGCGGGGAGGCGGCGGTGTGATGAATTTTGGTGGTTAGTTGGAGTTCCGACGATGGAGTCTTGGACCCCTGACGATGCTCAAGGTTTGATGGACAAGGCTGTGGGGAATTTTTTTTTTGTTTTTTGTTTTTTTGTTTTTTTTCCATCGTCATGGACAAGACGATGCTCTATGCGGTTGGGAAAAAAATTTTCTTTCCAATTTTAAGATTTTAATTTTTTATATTTGTCTTTAATATTTATTTTTAAAATGAATTAATTTTTAATAATTTGTGAACCGAATTGCCCCTCTACAACTAACAGGAGTTTAAAAAATTTGATAGAAATTGAGAATTGTCCTTGAATTGCTTCAAATTGAAACAACGGAGAAAAAATTGACAAACTTAAAACGACATGGACCAAAGTGATAAAAGTGGCAAACTACAAGGATCAAAAGTGACTATTTGCCATAATTTATTCAAGTGACATATGCAAGAAAAAAAAAAATCATTCATGTGAATGCAGCCTTTAAAGCATTGTCGGTGTCCCTCAAATTAAGTTGATTACGTGAGCACTTATGCCAAGTTCATGTAGGATAGATGGATTAAGTGTATACATTGATGCAATGTAACACGAAAAGAAAAACAAGGGTAAACCCTACAATAAGTAAGCTGAAATCCGCAAAGGGCTTGTAACTGAAATGGTTAAAAAACATTTATCTCTACACCTGAGGTCTTAAGTTCGGCTCCCCCTTTCTCAAATATTGCTTCCATATAAACCAAAAATAAAAGAGAGTTGAGAGAAACTTCTAAAATCACCTAACATACTTCAAAAGTTGAGAGAAACCTCTAAGGGCCTGTTTGTTACAAGGGCTTGCCTTGGACAGCCTTGGCCAAAATAATCGCATGTTTGTTTCACATGGTTCAAATCTTAAATGGGATTACTAATACTGGGCCCCACCAAAAACACCTCCTTAGGTGTTCTTACGGAAGCCTGTGTGGAAAGGGGGGACAAATTGTCCCGAGCCCTTTGCTAGCGAGCGATGTCTCTTGTAGCATCAATGTGCCCTTTCCCTCAACCAACAACATCACCTGCAACCAGCCACAACCAACAACCACCAAGAGCCAACATACACACCCACCACCATTG